GTCTTCTAAATTGTCTTTTTCTTTTCATTTTGAAGTAGGAAAACCAATATCTCCTTAAAATCTGTTTTAAAGAACAACAGAACTAATTGATAAAGCAGTCCCAAATGTTTTGTAGTGTTTTAATTATCTTAATTGTGTTTGTTCGCGCGCAGTGCCTTTAATGCTTGTAGCTGTAAGATGCGAGTGTGGAGATTTGGTGGTTAACTGTGCATTTTGAAAGGGCAAGTGATCCCATCACAGGATGGGCAGCTTCTCCACAAGTACTGCATAGATGCACTGTCCATAAACAGTAAAAGCGCAGAATTGCTCAGAAATGCTCTCCAATCTTTGTTTGCCTTTCAGTCCAGTTTTTGTGGTGCAGTCATGTAAGTGCTAATGTTGCTGGGGCCCGGGCTCTCCTGGGGTTTGTAGGAGCTGCCTGCTCTTAACTTGACTGGCAGCTGAGACTTCTGAACAGCCTCCCTGGAGGTAGCTGGCTACTTGAGGGATGGAGATCTTAAAATTTACATTTGATTGTAGCACTCGGTGTTTGCTCAAGCACTATTTTTTGAGCAGTTTGACTTCATTTAAAAATAAAAAGTCTTTTGTCCCATGAGCCAAAAGCCTGGAAAAAGAGTTGAGTTTTAGAACACCACCTGTGACAGTGGGGTTTCATAGGGTAAAAACAGATCTCTGAACTATGCCCAACTCCTTTCCTTATTGGTAGTCCTTTAGATCTTTCTCCAGAGGTTTGTTTTGATGCTAGGTTTTTGCTTGTTAATCATGGGAGCCCTAAGGGAAAAAAAATGCATTCTAGCAGCTGCTATCTGTATTTTAACTGGCGGAACTGTTGATCTGAGGAAATACTGTGCTCTACTTCTATGCGAGCTTACTGTAGTGAATGATTTAAGGACCATGCAGCAAGGAATGGTTAAAGTTTGTGATTTCTCCTGTGACTACACATCTTTAGGTACTGGTGCCCAGTGCCATTTTTGCCTAATGTTTCCCACCTCTTAAAAGGCTGGATACAAGTAAGTGAAGTGCTTCATAAAGTCGGTGTGCCTGGAAGCAGGGAGGCTAGCAGAGATGAAGGCATAACTCCAGCTTACCAAGTGTTAGGGAAATTAAAATAGCAAACCTGCCTTTATCGCTGCATACAGTGCTCAAGGGCCTGGGGTAATAGGAAGCAAGGAGAGCTGAATGTAATCATGATTAAGAAAGGTCAGGACATGTTTTACTTTAAAGGTTATGTTTTGCTATTTGTCCAAAGGACTTTGGGGGCTTCAGATATTTATATCACATTGTCATTTACTTCTGTAACTTAGAAAAATATATGGGGACAAGGAAAATGTCAACACATGTAGCCCAGTCCATTTTTAATACTAGGAGCTGTAGAGATAAGTGAGTTCATAGGTGCTTTGGGAAGTGCTGCTGCTGAAAAGAAAGCAAGCAGCAGGATACCAGAGTACAAGCTCTCAGAAAAGTAAAGGCTTCTTAGTATTTATTTATCTCTTGCCTAAATTCCTTTGTTCCCAAGAAAGATTTGGTTTGAGCAGGCGTGTTGGATGTTGTTTGGGAATGTTTCCAGTGTGCTGAAGGACTCCAGTATCATACAAATGAAAACTGTTCCTTTGAGCATATGTTGCAATCAATATGGTGTGATTTAAGCAAGTGCTGTTCATCTGAAGAATCCTAAAATTGGTTAGAACATGATACAAATAGCACCTTGCTTAAAAATGACCAAAGGAAGGTTTATGTTGTCTTACTCGGTGGATTTTATCTGCTAAGCTTGTCCCCTGATTTTTCACTGTTAAGCTTTCTTCTAGTAATTGCAGAAACTGCAGCGATTGGATGTTTCTTTGACAGTCCTAGCAGAAAAATGCTAACAGATTTTCTTTGTTCTTGGTTGCACGCTCTGGTTCTAGCAGTGGTATTGGGAGTAGTAAATCCAGACTTGGATATTTTAAGTTAAAAGCTAATGAATAAGGAGTTGCAAGTTGTTTTTTTTCCTGTTTAAATGAAAGCATATTGTCACAAAAGGATCCAAAAGTCATTCCACTTGAAATGTTTTGTAGAATCTGCTTAAATGTCAAGTGTTCTTGGAGTGTTCAGCTATCTGAGTATTCTAATGAGTTGAGCTGAGTAGTATGTGCTTAACAGCAGGGCTGTTTGGGACAGGAGTGACAGAACTGATGCTGTGTCATGAGGCTGTATCTATTTCATGCAGAACTGTTGAGGCTGCCCAGGACAAGGAGCCTAATTAGACAAAAGACCCTTAACATGAAGAAGGGAGATGGAGTTAAGTGTCTGTAATCTCTGTGAATACAGAGTTAAAAATGAGCTTGTTTTACTGATGTGGTGCCTACCCAAGTGATACTGAAGATTTTTTTCTGTTTTCACATTAACAGGAGATTATGGCTCTTCATCCCTTGTTTACTGAGGAGCAGCTCCTATTGACACCAAATGAGGTTCTGTCCAACAACATGCAACTCCTAGTAGCTAGAAAAGTCTGAGATGCCCCAGCGTTAAAACCCATGCTGAAGATGTCACTGGTACGCTGTAAACAAATGTTCTCCCAGTAAAAGCTGTTCTTCCCACCCCAACGGCTTCAAATAATGAGTCATTTGGCATAATTTACATTGCTGTACCCAAGCAAACATCAAGGGAAACATCTTAATGTCTTGTAGTACTCGTTTGTCATCAGCTAGTGTGTGGATAAACGGGTGTGTTGTGCTAATGGGAGAGCAGCTGCCCTGCAGCTGTGTAAGTGCTGCTCTGCTGTCAGGAAGGTGCTGGGCAGTTCCACCTCGGGAGTCACCCGTGTCACCCAGCGCCAGCGCCGCTCTGCCAGCGCAGCATCGCTCGCTGCCTGCCGGCCAGTCTGCTGAGCATCCTGCCTATCGCAGGAAACACCTGAAAATACTGAGTTTACAGACACTACGTTTTTATTTAGAGGCTGAGCAAACTGCTTCTGTATATGTATGTGTATATATACACACTTTTCTCAGAGCTGCTGCTCTTTGAACAGAATCTTTCCACCCTTCCACTCTGATTTCAGTCACTGCAACTTTGTTGTTCAGGTGTGGTGTGTGGGCAGCTTTATACTGTTTGGATAATGTACTGAGCACTCATTTGTGTAATGTGTACTGTTTGTCTGAATATATTCTTCTTTGTAACTCAGCATGTACAAAGCTGTTTCAAGTAGTAAGATCTCATCAGCCATGACAAACTCCATGCTGGGAAATAGAGGAGGAACTGAAGTTCCAAATATATTTTTTTAAAGATAAAATGCTGCTTTGTTCAATATAAGCATGCTTTTTGGATGCAGGTGCTATTTTTATTTCTTACTAAAAAAGTCAAAGCCACTTCTAAGTGCATGGGGACTTTATAAACTAATCACTGCCTGCATGAAGGCTGTTCTTACACTCACTGTAACCTAGCCAGCTTTCCCTATGCAAATAAGCAGATAAGTTCTTAATTCAATTGTATCCTCTACCAACTCTCAATACAACCTCATGGAGTCCAAGGCTTTTGGCCTGTGTCCACTCCCTGTGGCTATTCCAAAGTTCATTAAGAGATAATCATTTACTGTGGGGTAAAGATCTAAACTTTATGTAAATAGTCTGTCAAAACCACACTAGCAAATAAATCAGACTTTCCAAGTTAGATAACAAGCTTGTTTGCAAGCACTGAGGTTATGGTATTCAGATTTTCTCTCAGTGATAATATAAAGGGTTGTAAGTACTCCAAATTTTGTGGCTATAGGACCTGTCAGGGTTTTTCAGAACCAGCACAGCAGTACAGGCCTTGCTATTAAACTGATGCTTCCTTTCACTCTTCCCTTGTGGGCAAGGGAGGAGGGTTCTGGTGGCTTGGGAGCAGTTTAAATATTGAGCCATTCCTAGAAAGGCTGTGCTGACCTGTCCAGTAACTACAGCTCAACTCTGATACTACCTTGGTTGACCACCAGGTGCTTTCAAAGCTTATATTTTTGTTGGCAACAAGAACACAATTTTCATGTTGTGTCTGACTGATTTTCCAGAATAAAGAACAGTCTCAATCAAACTTATAGCAGCATGCCAGAGACTAGAAACACGTTTTGGCTCCTATGCTTCAGAAACCTCCCGTGGTCGTAACCTTGCAGGTGGCTGCAGAACCAGGCGTGATTTCCTTTACCCCAGCTGGGCGCAGCGGGGCCCTGCTGCGCTCTTGGGAGGAAGGGGCGCGTGTTTAAAACTGCTCTCTGTGCCGCATGTGGATGAGTGCCCTGGGGCACTGAAGGATGCTCTTGATTTTGTCCCAGGTCTCCCTGCATTTAGGGATTCAAAATGTCATGTTGTGAGAACTTCAGGTTTTTGTTTTTTTTTTTTTCTCCTTCTTTTTTTCCCCAATCTTTTCTGGTATGTCTTTAGCTCTTGCTAGAACCGACAGAGTAAAGCTTAAGCATGAAGTCTCTATGTTAAAAGAATACCCAAGTGGGGAGGGAGGGAAGGCCAAGCAGCTCCTTTTTTTTTCTTTTCTTTCTTTTTTTTTTGAACACATCTTCTAATTTTCAAAGCTGCGGAGAGGCAGAGTCCCCAGGCCGGCCTTGACGTTCCCCTGCAGAATCCTGCTGTGTGTGTTGGGGCCGGGGGAGCCCCGTCTTGGCCGCTGTCCGCGGGGAGGC